TCATAATTACCAATATATCATTACATAATAAAAATGTCTCATATAAATTAATTCAATCAGTCAAAGTACTGATTCTCATATCAATGAACCATAAACAATAGTGGAAATATTAATCTAGCTTAGTGCACATAATCAAAACAACTATCTAATGTATGCAAACTTTAGCAGGAGGAGCACAGCAAAAACATACTCATAATAATAGGCCTCGGCGCCCACACAGAAAAATATAAGAAAGAGCCAACAGAGCAGCGCAGGCTAGCGCTAGTTTGACTCACCAGTTCCTCTTTAAAACACGGCACACAGTGTGACAACTGCGTCGATTCAATTGTATGAGGCGCCTGTAGTGAAAGCATATCAATTACGGTTTGTAGAACAAAATATGACGTTAGGTCGCGATAAATACCTGCAGCTCGCTCATTTCCAGCTCCCCTAGACAAACACACCCACCGGTGAATGCAGTCCGCTTGTTTAGGGAAGTGTTGCTGCGCGAACTGCGGGGAACTCACGTTCGAACTCTCGCGCGAGCGCTACAACTACCGCGAGGCTTTGTTTCTTCAGAGACGGCATAGATAGAAAGAGAGATGCGGAGAAAGGTAAAAATGGCCCGGGTTACGCAAGTCTTTACAAGTCAATTGGCGCAAGTCCAAGTGAAAGTCAGAGTCATTGATGTTAAAGTCCAAGTCGAGTTGCAAGTCTTTTTATATTTGGTCAAGTCGAGTCTAAAGTCATCAAAATCATGACTCGAGTCTGACTCGAGTCCAAGTCACATGACTCGAGTCCACACCTCTGATATACCACATTTCTTAGTACTCATAGAAGCTTCAATCAATCAATCAACTTTTAATTATATAGCACAGTTCATACATAATGCAACTCAAAGTGCTTTACATTGGCAACATTTACAACCAATTAAAAAAAACAAAACACAGTAAAAACAAATACAAAAGACAGTTTAAAAAGAAATAAATATTCATATATATATATATATATATATATATATAAAAAATTGTCCACTCACCTTTGGCCCTCCGCGGGCGGTTATCCCTCTCTAAGCTCGGGTCCTCTACCACAGTGGTTCCCAAAGTGGGGGTCCCGACCCCCCGGGGGGTCGCGGGAACCCCTGGGGGGGTTGCATGATGATTTCTACACAAAAAAAAACAAAATATTTTTTTTTTTTTGAGCAAATATAAATCCCTTAAATATTTATTTAGCATTTGATTTGATTCAAAAGGACTACTTGTTAAATTGTGTTTGGAGACTATAATATATTTTAATAACGTTAGTAATTTTGTCCCAGTCATTGCAGTGTCAATCAAAATCATCACGTAACACAGCTCACATCATGTGCAGCGACAAAGCGTGTCCTGCTGTTGTTTGCGAAAAACTAAAGGTGTTTGGAGGCTACAAATAAATAATACCTGCTTTAAAATGAAACGTGGTTAATATCCACAACAGAAAAACCCGGAGGGGGAGAAAAGTCACTTGTATCAGGGGTCAAGCTGATGGTGCGAAGAGAGGGAGAGAGGGCAGCGGAGGGAGAGAGGGCAGCGGAGGGAGGGAGGACAGCGGAGGGAGGGAGTGCAGCGGTAGAACAGCGCGTTAAAGAGGCCCGGCTTTTCGGAGTCAGCGGTAAAGAGGTCCGCACATTAAAAGCGGGTGGCCGGTCTATGCCTTTACTGACAGTAACTTTGGAAAGAGTGGGGGGGGGGGGGGGGGGGGTCGACCATGTTAAAGTGGTCGACGTTGCCTTGTCCGATAAGAAATATATACAAATATATATATATATATATATTTAAAAAAAAAAAATTGTCCACTCACCTTTGACCCTCCGCGGGCGGTTATCCCTCTCTAAGCTCGGGTCCTCTACCAGAGGCCTGGGAGCTTGAGGGTTCTGCGCAGTATCTTTGCTGTTCCTAGCACTGCACATTTCTGGACCGAGATGTCCGAGGTTGTTCCGGGGATCCGCTGTAACCACTCTTCTAGCTTCGGGGTCACTGCCCCGAGTGCACCGATCACCACGGGCACTACTGTCACCTTTACCCTCCAGGCCCTCTCCAACTCCTCTCTGAGACCTTGGTATTTCTCAAGCTTTTCATGTTCTTTTTTCCGGATGTTACCATCGCTTGGAATTGCCACGTCCACCACGGCTGTCCTCTGCCCTTTATCTACCACCACTATGTCAGGTTGGTTCGCCATTACCATTCTGTCGGTCTGTATCTGGAAGTCCCACAGGATCTTTGCACGCTCATTCTCCACCACCTTTGGAGGAGTTTCCCACTTAGACCTTGGGGTTTCCAGCCCATACTCTGCACAGATGTTGCTGTACACTATGCCAGCCACTTGGTTATGGCGTTCCATGTAGGCCTTCCCTGTCAGCATCTTGCACCCTGCAGTTATGTGTTGGATCGTCTCAGGTGCCTCTTTGCACAACCGACACCTTGGGTCTTGTCTGGTGTGGTATATCTGGGCCTCTATCGCTCTGGTGCTCAGTGCCTGTTCCTGTGCAGCCATGATGAGTGCCTTTGTGCTGTCCTGTAGGCCAGCCCTTTCTAGCCATTGGTAGGACTTCTTGAGATCAGCCACTTCTGTTATGCTCCGGTGGTACATGCCGTGTAGGGACTTGTTCTCCCATGATGGGCTCTCCTCCAGCACCTCTTCATCTCGCCACAGCCTGAGACATTCACTCACATTCATTCGTTTTGGCCTTCTCCATAATGTAGTTATGGAGTTTGGATGTTTCGTCCTGGACAGTGGCTCTCACACTCACTAGTCCTCGGCCTCCTTCTTTACGGCTTACGTACAGTCTCAGGGTGCTGGATTTGGGATGGAACCCGCCATGCATGGTAAGGAGCTTTTGAGTTTTAACATCCGTGATCTGAATCTCTTCCTTTGGCCACCTGGAGGTATTTGGCAGTTGCCGCTTTCCTCGTCACCTGTTCGAGGTTGCCATTTGCCTGTGGTATACCGTGATACTTGTAACTGTCCTCAATGTCTGCTATTGTTCCCTCTGGGAGTGAGATCCCTTCTGTGTGGACTACCTTGCCTCTCCGAGTCACCATCCTGCTACATTTCTCGAGCCCGAATGACATCCCGATGTCATGGCTGTAGATCCTGGTTGTTTGGATCAGAGAGTCGATGTCTCTCTCGCTCTTGGCGTACAGCTTGATGTCATCCATGTAGAGGAGGTGACTGATCTTTGCTCCGTTCCTGAGGCGGTATCCATAGCCAGCCTGGTCAATTACTTGGCTTAGAGGGTTGAGGCCTATGCAGAACAGTAGTGGGGACAGAGCATCTCCTTGGTAGATACCACATTTGATGGTCACTTGTGCGAGCGGCTTGCCATTTGCCTCAAGGGTGGTCTTCCACATTCCCATCAAGTTTGCAACGAAGTCCCTTAGAGCCCTGTTGATATTGTACAACTTCAAGCATTCCATGATCCATGTGTGTGGCGTTGAGTCGTAGGCTTTCTGGTAATCAATCCAGGCTGTGCACAGGTTGGTGTGTCGTGACCGGCAGTCTTGGGCGACTGTTCTGTCAACCAGGAGCTGGTGTTTGGCTCCTCTGGTGTCCCTACCAATGCCCTTCTGTGCTGTGCTCATGAATTGTTCCATATGCCCACTTATCTTAGCCGCAATGATGCCTGACATGAGCTTCCATGTTGTGGAGAGACAGGTTATTGGCCGGTAGTTGGAGGGGACTGCACCCTTGACAGGGTCCTTCATGATCAGGACCGTTCGCCCTTCGGTTAGCCATTCTGGGTGAGTCCCATCTCTCAGCAGCTGGTGACAAGGTGACAGTAGTGCCCGTGGTGATCGGTGCACTCGGGGCAGTGACCCCGAAGCTAGAATAGTGGTTGCGGCGGATCCCCGGAACAACCTCGGACATCTCGGTCCAGAAATGTGCAGTGCTAGGAACAGCAAAGATACTGCGCAGAACCCTCAAGCTCCCAGGCCTCTGGTAGAGGACCCGAGCTTAGAGAGGGATAACCGCCCGCGGAGGGTCAAAGGTGAGTGGACAATTTTTTTTAAAAAATATATATATATATATATATTTGTATATATTTCTTATCGGACAAGGCAACGTCGACCACTTTAACATTTGAGTTGTTAACCCCCTTCGTGATTAGTAGGTCGAGTGTGTGCCCTCTATTGTGCGTTGGGGCTCGGACGTGCTGGGTCAGATCAAAGGTTTTGAGAACGGAGCTTTGCTCCTTTGTATATTTGTTTTCAGCCATATCCACATGTACATTAAAATCACCTGTAATTATCAGTGAATCAAAGTCAATACATACAACTGATAACAATTCAGTAAAATCATCAATATAATGTTGACCGTGTTGGGGAGACGAGTTTTGATGGGGATTTATTCATCTCAACTTTGAACGATACATATTCAAAGGAGGTAAAATTCCCAAATGGGTAACCACGTTGTCTCTAAATGCATTACTTATGTGCAGTGTTGGGGAAATACGTAGGGCCACAGAGAGGCTCCCAAGCCCTCTATTAATGTTGATAAGTGGAGTATGACACTGTATTTAATTGGGGCACCAGGTGTTATAGCATCAGAACAACATATATGATATAATATGATATAAGTTACTTTTTATTGCATGAATAAATGAATTAACTCATTTATAGCTATTATCCAATTTCAGTTTCTTAACCTGATGGAGTATGTCCATAATAGAATCCATCAATGAAACATCAAACATCAACATCAAATCAACAATTGTTTTGTGGGATATTTGAACAAAGATGGATTAAATATTTGGTTAATTAGCACCATAAAAGCTGTAATAATAATACATGCGTCCGTCTATCCGTTCGTCCTTAAACACAACCGTGTGTCCACACAATGGAGGAGAGTCAGAAGAGTGTGGAGCAATGTTCCTTTGTGTCACTGGCGCCTTTATTTGAAAAGAGAGAGAAGGAGCTTGTTGTCCATGTTGGACTTAAAGACTATTGATATTTGTGGTTTTTCTAACATGTTTGTGTGTCCAGGGTTTGCTGACCTCTGGGGTGGAGTTTGAGTCTCTTCCGGCTACTCTGTCCCTGCCTGCAGAGTCTGGATTGTACCCTGTTACTTTGGTTGGTGTCCCTCGTACCGCTGGCAACATCACTGTCAACGGCAAGTCAAGATCATAATTTTTTACATTTTTGATATGAAACAAATATTTTATAGAATGTCAATAAATGTACATTTTTGAATGCAATGTATATTGTTCTAATTAGCTTCCGCATTTGAAAGACTGCATTCGCAGCCTTGATATAAATTAATTATAAGACTTTTTTTTTCTTTTAGCAGTATTGTACAGCCGTCCTTACTCTACTGTCATTAGAAGAATGTGTTCTCTTACCATGTCTCGACCTTCTTGCACCCAGGTTACCACACATCAGTATTTGGTGTAAACAGTGACTGCTTGCTGGAGGGCCTGCTCAACGTCAAGAGTAGCGGTTGTTTGGTGGAGGTCATTCCTTCTCTTCCTCGTTTGCAGCTCAGCACATCGCTCCCACGGTTCGAATCCAATTTAAATATTAATATGTTAATGTTGTATTTGAATATGAGCAGCATACATGCATGCACTATCAAGGCGGCAGTTCACAGAGATCTGTTTTGGATAGTTCATGAATCCACTTTTTATACAGTTTTCATTTAACATTTTAAATACATGTTAAACATGTAATATATACATTTTTTATATAATCCTTTGGAAAAAAGGCCCCATAAATTTCACAACCTGCCATACTTATTAGAAATCTTCTTTAAAACAGAGGTTTGTCATGTGAAGCAGGCACAACTGAACTGTCCGAACTGCCCCCTCAAGAACGACTGTGGACGACTGTTTGCCTTATAAGTCAAGTGGCTCACATTTCCAATCATCCTTCTGGCCACAAAAGCACTAATTCAGACCAAACTTTCTATAACGATAGATAAATATTTGCATAGCCAATATTGTGGCACCTTTTACCCTGCGCACCCATGGTATCGTCCGCTTGTATCACTTACATTTCCCAACTTGACCATTTCACAACATTACTGTTGATGTTGATGTTGATGTTCATAAATTAAAACATAAACATACAATGTGAAAAAATCCACTAAGAGTAAAAACTGTATTTTTTCCAGGTCATCTCACACCACTCAGCCCATGTCTAAGGAGGAGCTGTCCTGTTCTGTGTCGGTCCAGCTTTTCAATGGAGAAACTCAGAAGCTAACCATCACTTTAGAAAACATTGGAACTGAGGACATTGAAAGCCTGGAACTAAATTCTAAAACTGTCACCACCAAAGGTAAGCTGGTTTACTAAGCAAAAGAAGTACTTTGAAAAGTATTCAAGTTCTCTCCACTTTGGTTTCTTTGCATCACTCAATGGTTTAGATACAAAATGTAAGAGTAACTGTAGCAATCATCACATACAGTATGCAGCAGTGAAACTCGTGCAATGTGGAAAGTGAAGAGAGCGGCACTCTTGCGTCGTCACAAATTAAAACGCTGCATTAATTGATTCCTTTCAGTGAATTTCACAGAAACGTGTAAAAAATTGGATGGATTCTTATTTGTCCTCTCCGTAGACGGATTACTCTCTGCGCACGTCAGACGGAGGCATAATGTATAGGCAGTGGAAGTGCATCAAATCACTCCCTATGCTGCTAATAGAAACAGTTTGACGTACACCATACGTAGTCTGGATGGAGCGGGGCATGTATGTGTTTTTTGCGTGACCCCGCTCCCATCTATGTGTGGAGAGAAAGACAAATGCCCAAAAAATAACAATTGTAAACCGCTTTGTGACTCTGGTCTGTGAAAGGCGGTATATAAATAAAGATTACTTACTTACTTACTTACTTACTTACTTTTATACAGCTATTCACAGACCATGACTACAAAGCACTTTTTTATTATTTTTTCATTCCACACGATGGTGGCAACCCACTAACGTAACCACAGATGCCCTGAGTCAGACACACAGGAGGCGGCACATGGACCCTGTGACTACCACCATTTCTCATGCATACAATGGAAACAAAAGTTTATGTAATTTATGTAGTTTATGTTTATTTCATTTTTCTCCACTGTTTTTGGTCACGGAGAAACGGAGAGAACATGCAAAGCCAACTTTCTTGCTGCAAGAGGAGATCTCTAACTGCTGCACCCCTATGTGTGTATATTTTCTACTAGAAATAATTTAGTATTCAAGAAGATGACAGTACAAATATTGCATAGTAATTGTTGTTTACTAGAGGTGCAACGGTTCATCACTGATCCGTGATCCGTTCGGTTCAACGTCTTCGGTTCGGTACAGACGTGATCCGCGGTTTGATTTATGAAAAAAAAGTTGTGCGCACGTTGTTCAGTCCACACACAGCGTGGTCATTGCGAGCGGAGGAACGGAGATGCTTGAAAGCCCCGCGTCATTTAAATCCCCAGTATGAGAGCATTTTGGCTTCACTGTAACTACACTGATAATTAATATTCGACAAAACTGTCACGATGTGTAAGCAATGTGGCACAAGAAAGACATGAGTGAAAAAAGCGTCTCAACGACCGCTTATTGTCGCGGCATTTAAGCAGCTCCTTTACGCACAGTCAGACCTGGCTAAAGTCAACTCTCCCGCGCATCCTCAGCTGCGCTCACGACGGACGCTTGGACGTCCCGCGGAACCTATAATAGATCCATGAGCGGAACCGCTCACTTCATCACCGCAGACTGGGAGATGAAAAGTCTGGCGCTGCAGACACGCCCCCTCTACGACAGTCACACAGTCACACAGCGCAGGTTCTGACACAAGCAGCGGAGGAATGGAAGACAAAGGCCCAGTACTAATATCCCAGTCACAACTGATAATGCCAAAAATTAAATAAATTCAGTGAATGAGGCTGGGCCCAGAATGGAGCGCCTCCTCGGGAGAATCAGGAAGGTGGTGTAATATACAGGGACGTGCAGTCAGGGGAGGCAGGGGAGGCAGAGCCTCACCTGCCATTATTGGAAACTAATAATTATTTTAGTTTAAATATATAATTTATATCCACTGTCCTATGCTTTTAATGTATATTCGGCACGGTTCCCATCAGTTTTGATCATTTCTGAAGTCAAAATCGCCGAAATCCCGTTATTCCTATTCAAAGAGACGAGGTGAGGCAGTGCTCCTGCGTGCCTCACCCCAGACCGCTCCCTCACAGTGTGTGTGTGTGTGTCTGAGTGCACTCAGCTCGTGCAGTTGATATATCACCGTTTGTTTCAAATATCCTGCTTTAAAAACATTTTTTAAACTCCTCTTAGTGTTTAGTAGTGTATTGCACGTATGTGTGTACAATTTATATTTAGTTTAAGTCTTTTGATCGTAGATGAACACACAAGGAAAAAGCTTGGCGTGAGGCAGGCGGTATCTGTGCCTCACCGCTAGGGGTGATAGTGAGCATAAAGTTCATACCAGAGTTGCTAACAAACAATCAGCCCAAAATGCTATTTCTTTTGCTGGAAAATGGATGATTTGAATGAAGATTTTTTTTCTCAATTGGACTTTCAAACAAAGAAAGAATTAATATAGACTGGGAGACCACCACTGGACTTACGAGGTTAGTCCGGCTGCGGGGGAGGAGTTTGTTAATCTGTGTTTTATGTTGAACATTGACAGATACCGGCAAAGTAGTGCTTTTCCGAAAAACACTGATTCAAACACTGCTCAAGAGTTCTGCAACTTGTTTAAATTATTGTTTATGTTCCTCGCGTCTCTCTCTCCTCGCGTCTCTCTCTCCTCGCGTCTCTCTCTCCTCGCGTCTCCGTCTCTCTCTGCTCCTCGCGTCTCCGTCTCTCTGCTCCTCTCTGTCTCTCTCTGCTCCTCTCTCCTCGCGTCTCTCTCTCCTCGCGTCTCTGTCTCTCTCTGCTCCTCGCGTCTCCGTCTCTCTCTGCTCCTCTCTGTCTCTCTCTGCTCCTCTCTCCTCGCGTCTCTCTCTCCTCGCGTCTCCGTCTCTCTGCTCCTCTCTGTCTCTCTCTGCTCCTCGCGTCTCCGTCTCTCTCTGCTCCTCTCTGTCTCTCTCTGCTCCTCTCTCCTCGCGTCTCTCTCTCCTCGCGTCTCTCGCACCTGCGCTTCTTAAAGATGTTGTTTGATGCGGAGCAGAGTCAGCAGCTAGATTTGTTGTGAGATTATTAAAAGAAGCTGGTTCTCTTATCTTTACAGTATATAAAGTTTGTGGATGTCATTGCATTGGTGATTAAATGCTATTTTATTTGAATAATGATTGTAAATCTGACTTTTAAAGTCAGTGCCTCCCCAATCACAAACCTCACCGCACGTCCCTGGTAATATATGAGAGTAAATATCCTCATAAAGTGCCTTCTTATGTTGCACTTTGTGTTGTTTTTCATTAATTATGTTAAATAGACATAATTGGATGGATGGAATATTCCATCCATCCATCCATCCATTTCCTTCCCCTTAATTCATTTCTAGGTCAGGGGGGGCAGTCAGAGCAGGTGCCGAGTCCACATGAGCTGTGTTTATTAAAAAGACAACACTTTTTTTTTGAAAAATGAACCGAACCGTGGCCTCTGAACCGAGGTACGAACCGAACCGTGATTTTTTCAAACCGTTGCACCCCTATTGTTTACCATTTTGATTGATTTTTTGGAAGCTGGTTTCACAACTTCATAATCAAAGCCGAGGGTTATCCATGACAATAATGCAAATCTTCCAATGTTCAGAAGTTTATACACGTTTTGTGTTCTATGTGTTGTGTTGTTGAGTGAAAGCGTATTGTGATGCAGTTTTGGATTTTTCTGCTCATCCACAACTGGCTGTTTTTCAGCTCCTTTCAGGCCCTGCCTTGCGATGCTGCAGAGGTCGACTCTGTTGTCTTTTTTTTCTATATTTGTAGGGTTTCACTGTATCCCTTTGTTGGACACCTGTTCTGGCTGTCAGATCTCTGCAGTCCCCTTCTCTCTGCCAGCACCGGCGAGTGTTTTCCTTGTTGTGCTTGTCTCATTTAAGAGTTTTGTCTGAAATATCACTTAGTTTATGATATTAGTTCATGAGTTTGTTTGCCAACTAGGAATTAAGTTTTGTTGTTTTTAACAAATCAATGTATTCAGAAATGTAGACACACACTTCAATAGAACATTAGGTATAGATGTGTAGATCAATTATGTATGCTTTTATTGCTGATTTCTGACAGTAGTTGATGATAGGTGACTTCATGTTATTATATTGACTTATCTGGATAAAAAGATTAAACAAAGAAAATCTGTAAAGGCTGCTCCTCATATCCGCATATACATGCGCTACCATTGCTCTCCCTTCAGTCCTCTGAGTACAGCAACCAAGTCCCTCCTCTGGATTTTACATTTTCTTTGCCAAGATTGAAGGAAAATATATTTGTCTTGTAACTTTGTCTGCAGTGGAGCCGAGCTTTCGATGTGATTGCGGAGGCTCGACAGAATCTGTTTTTGTTCCTCCCTTGCATACTTTGGCAGCTTTTCCAAAAGTAAACCTGGTGCTGCTTTGGAGCAGTCCAAGAGTCACTCGTCCACTATCTCAAGGGAGCAAATAAGCCTGTCCATACGATGAAAGGTTTTCTAGCAGTAACGTCATACTGTTGTGCATATAATCATTTCATAGCGTATTTTTTTTTCTCAAATTGAACTCTCTAAACAAACCCCAAGAAACATAAATATGACTCATAAGCACCAAATACAAATAGAAAACAAATGATATAAACAAATATATATCATAATAGTTCATTTGCCTTTTGAAACTTTCCAGGCATTTTCTACCACAGGACCATGGTTCAGACACATCCGGCAAAGTTGGCAAAGTGCCATTTGATATTTTCACATTAAGCCTCATTACAGCTCAAAGAAAAAACTTTTTTTCAATTAATTCAATCTAATCTAGGAATCTAATCTAGGAAAGTGTTGAAGGGCGTTTTACTGTTTTACCCTTTATAAAATAAGATATCATTAACTCTCATAAGCTCTGGGGACACCAAAAGGTTTTGTGTGCTGACTTTTTTTAATACTGTAAACATGGATTTTTATATCATGTCTTTGGCGCTTTGGCACACCTTTTCTGTCATTCTGTATGGCTGCCAGATACATACAGTATATATAAATACAGATTGTTTGTCAGAATGCTCACAATTAGATATTTTGTCAAAGACTCACTTCTACCATAACTAAAAGGATAATTCAGGAAATTGTCGTCTGTTGTAACCTGTGGCTGTGGGATGAGACGACCCCTTGGCTCTATTTTCAGGCCATTATTTGTTGTTTGTGGAGGCTGATAATTACTGGATACTGTCAGCAGTCTCCCTGAACTGGAGTCACTTGCTCATGTTGTTACGTTGTTCCTTCCAAATGATAACTAGTGTTTTTACTGCTAATCACCGGTCCTAAAGTGGCCCTAGTTGAACCAAACAAACATGTAGGCACCTCACAAATCTTTAGTTCATGGCTTTGTGTTACTAAAGATTCTTATAGAAAACTTTTTTTTCAGTTATATCAGTGCAAATGAATATACCGTAGCAACAAAGTTGCTCAACTTTTGACTTTTTTACTGTCACATACAAATTTGCGATATGCTGCAAAAATTCTTATAGCTTCATAGTGGACACATATAGAACAGTGTCTTTTAAACAGTATTCATGACCACCACAAAGTGACAGCTATGGAGCCCAGCAAATCAATGCACACTTACCCTCCAAAAAAGTTGTGGCAACAATTTACATTTCCTTGGGTTCCTTGGACGTAATGATGCTGTGACCAATATTCTCTTAACAAGCCTTCGAGCCCTTCACAGAAGAGCTGTTCCCCTCTGATATGTCTCTATCACACTGTTTTGTTTTAATTTCATTCGGTTTTCAAATTCTTGTGTTGTGTTTCTTGGCTACAGAAAAACTGTATGGGGAGTTCTTAAGCTGGGAGATGGCAGAAGCACTCTCTCACCTCCCTCTTAAACCAGGACAATCGGTGACGCTCGCTGTTGGCGTCAAAGTGAATCTGGACTTCTCAGGCCAGGAGAACCTATTGCAAGACCTCAATGATGGTGAGAATAACCTACTGTATCATTACATAATGTGGTGCATTGGGTTTGGTCAACGACCAATACTTGGTTCCACTGGTTCACCCAAAACCCACACTTATTTAAAACATTTCAGTTATCTACAAAATGTTTATGGATAAAAATGTTTTCTAATTAAAAGTTGGATACAGGTACTGTATGTAATTGTTTAAATCATAAAGTCATCATAAAATTACCCTTTTATTCTCCCAATTAATCTATGCAAGATCAATACATAAAAGGCTCAATGCAGTTCAGAGTGAACCAGTATAAACGTGTTTATCAGGGACATGAGGTCATTTTTCCAATACTGCTTCACTGTTTTAATAAACTGTGCTGATAACAAACAACCTCAGTTATACTCGTATAATGTTGTGGGAGACAGTATTGGGTAAATACTTTTGATGTTTATCTAATACTCTACTGTAATCACATGCTTATTTGCATGGAGTCCAATTTGTTTTGTTTTCTGTCTGGAATATAGTGTGCTAACTCCTGAAGTCTGTGGTAATTAAACAGTGAGAAAGCTCATTATTTTTAGATACTGGGCAAAGTGGGCATACATTTGAAGTGGAGGCATTTAATTTAGCTCCTTCTTTATCATTTCTGCTTTAAAGACGGTTATTATTGACCTTAGCTTTATCGGGATTGCGTCTGCCATCTAATGATAGTTTCCGCATGTGTGAGTGAATATACATTTTTTTAGAGGAATCCTCTTCACACATTGTCTGCTCACTCTGAACTCGGCACATGAATGATGGTTCACAGATTGAGTGGTGCGATTTCACACCAGCACTTTCCATGACCGACGTTTATTTAAATTTGGTTTGTAATTAGCACCTTACTACTTTTTGAGAAACTAAAATGTGAGGTTGTGTGGCGTCACAGTAGTGTCCTGTGAGTTTGTGAGACAGAAAGAACACATCAGACAAGGCCAGAGGAAACCTCAGTGATTGATGGGTTGAAAAGTCCGGCCCTCACTCAGAGTTCACCCCCGAACATGATGCTATAATTCAGATCAGATGACTGTGATGTCATCACTCCGCACTAATGGGCCCTGACCGAGCAGCAGCGTTAGCGTGTTAAATGATGTGAGCATGCTACCTAATGACACTGCCCAAGCCTACTGTTGCAGATGCTGCCCACTGACTCCACTCTTATCTGCAGAAACTCAGCTTGTGTGAACCAGTGTCGCACTTTTCATGTCTGCAACACAAGAAACCCATTATGCTAACATCCAGTAGGAATAAGCATATCACTGAGAATACAAACGGAACATGTCCAGGTCTGAATAAGTGCTTTTTAAGTAATCTCTCATGGGTTTCATGGGTTTAATACTATTTATTCTAAGCTTAGTCACATTCCCTTTCAGTCAGGGCTGGACTGGCCGTCGGGCGTACCGGGCAATGCCCAAAGGGCCGATGCCCACATATGGGCCAGTCTGCCTGCTTCATATAAAAAAACATTTTTGTGAAATGTGTAAATCTGTTGACATATGTTCGAGGAGGGCGCGCGTGACCGGGCACTTGCTGTTGTTTGCAGTATGTACTCGAACGGGATCTTGCATGCTCCGTGGTGGCTGTGAGCCGCAACATGCCGAATGCGCAGCCGCAACGTGGCCATGTACCCAAGACAATAGCACAGGATGCAATAAGAAGGTCCTTTATTCGTCCCACAATGGGGAAATTTCATTTTGATGCATACACATATTACATATACATTACACGCACATACAGTATACATATACACATCAAGGCAAGCAGCGAACATCACTTCCGCGCTCCTTATAGGCAAAGTGGGTTAAGTGTCTTGCCCAAGGACACAACGACAGCAGACTTCATTGGGAGTCGGTCGAGAAGGTCTCGTGGTGGACTCGACCTTCGGGCTCAAAGACCAATGCTCTACCATCTGAGCCACTGTCGCCCACAAATACACCGCTGTAAGAAACATAATCTGTGTCTGTTTTTTGGTCCCAGTCCAGCCCTGCCTTCAGTTCACTACAGGCTCAACCTAACTGGCAACAGGGTTCCTGGTGATGCTTTTCTAATGTCTTTGTTGGATTCACCTAAGATGCTGAGCTGGTAAATGCAATATTATTATGGTTAAAATCCTTAAACATAAAAAGAGCTAATCCAATTTGACTTTTCTCCCACTTGCTTTAAATCCCCCATTCCCATTTTTTTTCTTTTGCTGTTACAATAAAGCAGCTGGTTTAATGGAGTCTCCAGATGGACTTAATAGCTTCCAATACAATCTCATCATTTTTTTGAATTGCTTTGAACAGATTTGTGCAAATTGAATGCTCCATCTTTCTCTGTCTGTCCTGTGATACTAATGAGGTTCCTGAAATCTCAGTTTTGCACAGTTGCTTTTGGAAAAATAATACAAATCATAAATAAACATTACGTTTTTGCATTTTCTCGGTCATAGGTCACGCATAAGTGAGACTGAAGAGCTGATTCATACATAAGCAATGCGTATGGATTTATGGTAATATTACGACAATGATTTAACATGTAGTAGCTAGCATATAGTTGGTTGTTTGGGGTGAAAATGCTGAGTTGCCCATTTTCCCCTTGGGCCAGAACCCAGACAAGACCTAAACTGATGAAGAGGATGGTGCTGTAGCGGGCCTGGCTAAGAGCGGTGCCAGTACTAATCATACCATCCATTACTCAAAGTGCGGTTTATACCCCTGATACTAGCTGCTTAGCGTAATGAAGTGAAGATTTTGAAATGGTAAACTAGCTTGACCCTAATTCATTTATATATTCAGCTTTGTACAGCTGCAAAATTGTATTGGAAACATGTTCACAAACTATGCTCTGGTATTTACCTTAGTAAGTAAACTCTGATAATCCCAAATTTACTTCATTACAGCTTTTGAATGTTAATTGAAGTGTCTGCTACAGTACAGCCTGTTGAGCTTTCTACTTCTTTATACTTGGAGGAGGACAAGACGTTTCAAAACTTAGTGGACAGCTGACATTGTCCTCTATCAAATATACACATTTATTTTCTCAGGCATCCAGTTCCTGTAATGTATTTTCCACACCCCAAAAAGCTTTAGGAATATAAAAGGAAATGCTTGCGCTGAATCTATTAACTGCAATACCATGACAATTTTTTACATTTTCTATATTTCGATTAAATTAAACCGAAATCGAACAGTAAAAATAAAGAAACTGTGTGGTGTATGATTTTGTCTTTTGGGGATGAGGAAAAACAACCATAAGCAATTTAATCCTATTTTTGGTGTTTGCTCATTTTGCTATTCTTTGTTTGGTCAGTTACCTTTTGAAACTTTCTGCTTGAATTTTTTTATGAAGACATTTTGGTTTAGGTAAAATTATAAATATGTGCCTCAGGTGTTGACCCATCAAAGCAAGTGATGATGAGAAAAACATTAATCGACGTGACAACTAGTTTGAGGAAGACTTTTTACATTGAACTTACTTTATTATGCTAACTGTGTGGTGCTTTGAATCTTTGCAGATGGCATAAGCGTGACAGGTCTGCCCATCGCCAGCCCTCTTCGCCAAGTGCTCAAACCTCGTCCTGAAAACAAATCTGTCAGCAGTGATTCCGGCAAAGCAGAGTACAACCACATAAAGGTACAGAATTACACCTTTGCGTTTTTTCAGTCTGGTATGTTTACCACCTCCCGTTTTGAATGCGTTCTAAAATGTTGCTCCAAATGGTATTTTCTACTAGCCCAGTGTTTTTCAACCTTTTTTGAGCCAAGGCACCCTTTTTTTCATTGAAAACATCTCGCGGCACACCACCAGGAGAAAATGTAAAAATATTTACATTTATATTCACAATATAAAGTTATTCTCATCAAAGTCCTTAAATAGACATCCAGGCCTTGACATTAAGCTTTGTTTAATATTCCTCAATACAGTGAGTTAACAAGAGTTTAGGAATAATGTGGCACTAACTGTGTGAAAAAACAAAACAAAAAAATCCACTCTCAGCTGTCCACGCGTCCGTGGTTCTGTCCGCGCGTCCGTGGTTCTGTCCGCACGTCCGTGGTTCTACCCGCGCGTCCGTGGTTCTACCCGTGCGTCCCTGATTCTGTCCGTGAGTCCGTGGTTCTGTCCGTGTGTCCGCGCGTCCATGGTTCAGTCCGTGGTTCTGTCTGTGTGTCCGCGAGTCCATGGTTCTGTCCGCGCGTCTGTCCGTGCTCGGTACTACGGATGTGCGTGCTGTTGTCAAAGCGGCTGTCAGTACAACGTGGCCACAGCTGCCCCGGGGTCAGAGTGGAAGATGTGAATCCTGTTCAGAAATAGCATAATTCCTTTTCAAAAAAGTCTCCATCACTTTCACGTCTCACTTGCCACAATGCTCCTCGCTCCCTGCTACATTTGTTGGTTGCGTCCAATTATTACGTTTCTCGCCACATGCTCCCCGCTACCTGTTAAATCCTGTGGTTGCGTCCAATTTTTCCGTTTCAAAGTATTATCTGCTGTAGCTATCTGCTACCACCTATTGATATGAAAAGGTATTACGTGGTTACTCCACAGTTCAAAACAAGTCAGCGCACGCCAACAGTGGATGCAGTTGTTTTTAGACAAAGTAGGCGAATTTCTCACAGCACACCGGACAATATCATACGCCGCACTAGTGTGCCGTGGCACAGTGGTTGAAAAACACTGTACTAGTCTGTTTGTCGCCAGACCCTTGTTCTGCCATGCTCCATCAGAGGCGTTTTGCTGAACACACGGGTCTGGGATTGACACCAATGCAATCTCCTTCAGGAGATCAAAAAATATTCAGCTTTTTTTGGATTGCCGGGCAGAATTTTATAGATATGACATAGCACCGAAGCGACTGTTTGATACAAACAACAATGGCGGCATGCGGAGAGGCAGCGGGTGCTCACATTGATTCTGCTATTACAACTGTTTGTCTATCAGATGTTAATTCTTTAAAAGATGAACAGAGAACGGCTTTGAGAGTGTTATCTAGTTTCCCTATCAAGCGAAAGCACCATAAGCATATTCGACACGGTCTCTCTCGAACGTTCAACAATTTCAAACCTAGTTCTGTTAAATGTTCATCTATGCTTTTTCCGTTGGAGACTTTGTGAAATAGTTTTGTGCTGTTCGCAAAGACACCTTTTAGGTGCATGTTTTCTTTGCAAAAACTACATTGATAGTCTATTGCCATTGCTGCGTTGTTTTAGTAAAAGTAACTTTTCCGCTCTGACGTTTTCCAGTATGTCGCCTGTTCTGTTTTGGATTTCCCAGCGTCGCTCTCATCAGTGTCACGGGTTGATTTTGATGTGAGTAGTTGAAGGACCATGTCATTCAAGATAACGGACAAAATGTTTATCCAATCGTATACAAGGATTTTTTTTACAAGGCCCCGCCTTCTGAAATTCATCCGCTATGAAGGAGACCCAGACCCTTGCGAAGTGCTGGGAACTACAAGGGTCTGGTGAGAGTCAGGCTAATTTTCTACTGAACTGCTCAAGAGATCATTTGAGAGATTTGTTCAACAACAAAGAATTGTCTTTAGAGGGTTGTTAGCCTGTGGTTTAGCATTAGCTAACTGTTTCCATACCAGTTCATCTTATTGAATGCTTATTGAGGTGGGAGCTGGTATTTTTCCCACCTCCCAGTCACCAGGCACGCAGAATTTTTTGCCTGACCAGCCAGGCCCTTCCAAAATTGTGACCAAATGTAAGAGGGCCTGTGGCCGGATTCGTTTGTTCCCAGCTCTTTTCGACCAATCAAAGGTTGCAGAACTTGCCCTCAATCTGATTTGATACAAGTTTCCTTCATTCTCATTTTATTGACCATTGAGTTCAATAACCTGTGAACTGTAAATGTCACTGTGTTAAATGTCATATTTCTTAGTTCAATCATGTGTGCACTTCCGTTTGTTGTTAACAATATTTTTTTTAAAGTATTTCACTTTTCTGCCCTTTTCCCTGAGCTGATCTAATCAATTGCAATCAAACATGAATCAGAAATGAGCTGCTAATCGCAAAGATCCAGACCCTCACATATTTCAAAATTTATATTGTAAAATCATGTGGTTCTAGAGGCTCAGGCTACAGAATTAGTATCCGCATTCCCTTTTATCTGTGACCAACCAACTCTTTGAGATTGAATTTGTATTTATTTACTTACTTGAGTGAGAGAGGTAATCATTGTAGCTGAAGTTTGTCCTTCATCAACTCCACATTAGGGCACAATTGCATCCTAAAAATAAATTGTTTGTATAGATAAAAAAGCAATCAATAAACACTAGATGTTGGAGGCGAGAATGTAGTGTGTAGTGGACATAAACCTTTTTATATATGATGTTCTTGTGCTTTAGTTTGGCACATAAAAGTATGCTGCTCCTCCTGCCTCTGTATAAAAAGTGATTGGCTTCCAGAGCTTTATTGCACGTAAAAGCACACCTTTCTCTGAACTGTGGGGTTATGGCATAACTGAAGATTTCAGGGTTCTCTGGGGTTAGGACTGAAATGAGACACGCTTTGTTTAAGGCAAAGCCAGCATTTTAATCAGTGGTTAGCCCTATTAGGATCTGAGCTTGACTGGCATCTCTGATGTTCGCTGTTGCAAACATGGTTAAAGTAAAGCCAATTACACATGGATCCTTTCCAAGCAAAACATCAGCCTCACTGCCTCTTGTATGAGTTTACTTTCTTTGGAGCCATGGTCAGAACATATGCCTGTACACAGCCTGTACACAGCCTTCTCTAGGCTACTTCCTTCTGTACAATTTATGGCAACATCATAAAGACATTATCAAGATATTTTGGGCCACTGTAAGAAATGAATGAATGAATGAAACTCATACCTTAAATTACAAGTTATAATAAACGATAACCTAGTATAACCTTTAACCTATATATTTAAAAAAAACATGCATGTATGAAATTATGCTGTCCACAATTTGAAAAGAGAGACAGCTATTGTAAATTTCAATATTGTAAATGCTTGTATTATACCAACTAGATCTCTGTGTGGGGATGTAAATGTAGTTGTATGCATGCAAATGTCTGTATTGTTTGACTGTGTACATGAGCAAATACTGTAGGATGTACACTTTATATGCATGTGAGTATAAATGCCTAATGTTTTGTTTTCCCCCCATCTAGCTTAACAAAGCTTCCCTTTCACACAACACTCAATGTATCTGAGACTGTGATGTTAATTAATTGTAATGTCATATTTATAACATTACAATTAACATTCAACAGTCTACCTTGATGTCGGTTCAATGCAGCTCTCAAAACGTGTGAGATTTCCTCTCAGCAATGGGAGTTTGACTTAATCTGTCAGGAGCTTTGGGATCAATGAGTCAAGTAATTTAACCATTGAGAATGAAAATGGAATATCCAGTCATTTCACCCAACTTTATTTCTGGTAAATCTCTATGTGATAACTTGCAATGCATTCCTGTGTTCTCTTGGCTCCCATGTGAACCTGGATCCCAACTACACACATATTTTATTGAGTGCATTTTGTCTGAAGCTTAGATGCGGCATAGATGTGCATTGCCTTCATGAGCCGTGATTATCTTCAATACAGCACATTGGAGGGCACTGCAGTCTTCTCAGGTGAATTTCCTTCACACCACAATATTTCATCAACAGATATTTTAGATGACTGCATATGTTTTATTATATATAATATAGATTATATACTGTATGTATCTAATGTAATGTTGTCTGTGTCTATATACTACTACTTAATTTCAAAGTTAAGTCACGATTAATCACAATTAATAACACATTTTCCCTGCTCTAAATGTCCCTTGATTTGGTTTGAAAAGGTATTGGATGAATCAAAAAGCGTATTAATCCAATACGCTACATAAAGTATTTGAACTGTCAAATATAGGCTACTATATCTCTGTAAGCTATTTTGTTGTTGCCCTTAGTGTGTTTAGAACTGTTGAACATAGTAGAAATGACTTGAATTGTCGAAAAGGCTAACTATAGCTTCAACGCTTGGGCTGTGATACTCTGTACTCCTCAAGTGTTATGTACGCAGTAGTGTTGGAAGTTTTGGTAAAATGTTGAATAGTAGTAGTAGTAAGTAATCTTTATTTATATACCGCCTTTTCACTGCAGATCTGAGTCTCAAAGCGGTTTACAATTATTAATTATGGGCATTTATCTCTCACTCCACACAGAGATGGGAGCGGGGTCGCCGGTACAGGAGGCGCATGCCAGACATGCCTATTGGACATATTTTTAGTGGTAGGGGAAACCGGAGTACCCGGAGGAAACCTACGCAGACACGGGGAGAACATGCAAACTCCACTCAGAAAGGCCCTGGTCCGACCGGGATTCGAACCCAAGACCTTCTTGCTGAGAGGCGAGAGTGCGAGAGTGCTATCCACTCAGCCACCGTAGACGGATGTCAGCACAGTGGCTAGAGTGCAGTGAGGAGGAAACTGTATGAACCCACAGACAGAGGCTGGGGGGTAGAGGAGGGGACCCGCAGTCTGGGCTAATCAAATCCACTGGAGACGCAGGCTGAGTCGGCTGCCTGCCAGCTAGCTGCTATTTATAGAAGGCTGGCCCTGAGCCTGGCAGTCAGACCCTCCACAAATACAGATCTCAGGCATGATACAGATATTTATACCTACCGCAGCTCCATGTTGCTCCATCCGACAACCTACAGATGTGTTTTCAGCTTTATTCTTTCTTAATTCACACACACATGGTTCTTGTAGCATGCATGCAGAGTAATCTGCTCTTGCGATGAAATGTTACATTGTTTTGTAGTGTAATTTTTCCCATTGGTAGTATAGATTTTGTTTCACTTCATTTTGGATAACACATACATGAAAAGTCCACAAGAAGTGTGAGGGGAAAAAGTTACTATTCGGTTTAAAATATATATACTGTATATAAACCCTTTTGGGTAAAAAAAAAAAGGGTAAAAGACTCTTGGGTAAAAGACTCTTGGGTAAAAAAACTATTTTTAAAACCTGTTTCTGAGCCTACCAAAGACACTGCTAAGACTTCTTTGAGTTGTTGACAGTTTGCCACAAAAACAACCTGCACATGCCAGGTTGTTTGAATCTGAAATTTGGTAAAATCCTACATAATGCCCCTTTTTACAGTATATCCATCTGATTAAATATCCATTCAAGAGCGGTGTGTTATGGGTTCATAATAACATTGCCTTGGCTGTTTTTCCACCTCATCCTTTGAGATAGTGTGGCTTACATTTTCTTTGGTATTACTCCTGTATTCTATGAAGTCTTATAATGCAGTCTTATATCGATTATAGCCACTTCTGTTCAAGCTTGCTTGAATCCTTTTGATGGTCAGTTTGTTTAGGTCTATTTGTATCATGCCATGGGTTTAATCTGTGATAATTATAGATGTGATTGATACATACTGGAGCCATGCAGAAAATAGGTTTCATCTTCCATGTTTTGCTTTTATTCTTGAGCATTACTACAGACTTCGTGTTACCAATTTCCTTTGTGCTATTCACATATATTATGAACGTGGAATAGTAACCAGGCAAAAGTTATCTTCTCTTAAACGTACTAATGATAACGTTGACTAGAATAAACGGTTGTGGTTTGGAGCTGTTTTTTCGTCCCCCAAGAGGCTTAGCATCCAGGTGTTGAACAAACACTAGCGTTTGATTGGACTCATAGCTGCAGCTGCACTGCACAGCTGTCTTTCTCCTCCAGGACTGTTTTAACTAAGCACTCGTTATCAGTTTCTTCAGGTGTAACCTAAGCAAGATCTGAAGAGGTGAAGGCTTTTTCCAGGAGAGTTCTGTCCCTAGGTCAATAGCTGGGACCTTTCCCAGAGTAAAAATTGGCTCATCACAAGCTTAAGCTTAGTGCTGTGCTCTAATTACTGTTCATGTAAAATGCACTACTCCCTTTGTCTGAGCTCTCAAGCATATTTTTATGATCATGACAGATTTTCTCACATTCACACATTCAGAGAGTTTGCCTTCTTCTTCAGAATATGTCACTGCTACTTTTACGTTATTTTGGGCTGACCTTCAATATTTTAGAATCTGCAATTTACTACTTACTAAATAAGTAACTAAGTAGCTGTATAGTTTTTCATGTTGTAGGTCAGATATTAGGGGGCGACAGTAGCTCAGTTGGTAGAGCATTGGCCTTTGGGCCTGAAGGTCGTGGTTCAAGCCCACCATAAGACCTGATGACTGCTGTCGTTGTGTCCTTGGGCAAGACACTTAACCCCACTTTGCCTGAAGCTCCCACTGAAAGATCTCAGCTCCTGTGGACTCGCCACCTGCAGGAGGATCAGT